CAAATACCCGGAGCAGATAAGCTTCTGGTTCATCGTCTCCCTCTTCTTCACCCCGCTCCTGGCCAGCATCCCGCCGTACGCCACGGGCCCCGCGCTGGTCCTGGTCGGCGCCATGATGGTGATCAACATCGTGAAGATCGACTGGGCCAACATCCAGGAGGCGGTGCCCGCCTTCCTCACCTTCATCGTCATGCCGCTGACCTACTCCATTGCCTACGGCGTCATCGCGGGCATCATGTCCTGGATCATCATCAACGGCTCCGTGGCCGCCTGGAACTACGTGAGCCTCAAGATCTGGGGCCGGCCAGACCACGTGGAGGAGGGGTCCAGCTGGAAGATGGTTCGCCAGGTGGGCGTGGAGTGGGAAGGCGAGGGGATATTTTGGGGTAAATGGGGGTGGAAGCACTGGCAGGCCGGACATTGATGGAGCAGCTTGGACCAACCAGGTTGGTGGATGGCACTCCCGGACATTCCGATGCCTGCACTGCTGGCACCATCCATACTCTTGCCCTCACTCCTCTCACCTCCTTCCCCCTGTCCCTCCCTCCAAAACACACAGATGACCTTCACCCTGAACGCCGACAGGTCCCTGCAGGAGAGCGAAGCCCTGCACACCTTCCAGGACCCCTCCACCAGGGGCATGAAGGATGGGGACGAGTCGCCCTCCGCCTCCCAGGCCGCCGCCGAGGTCGAGCTGGGCGGCAAGTCGGTGGACACCAGCGTCAAGCCCTGAGGCCTGGGCTGGCCAGGCACATGTGGAAGCAGGCACGGGAGCCGGGCGCCCTGCCCTGCTCCCGGGGAAACTCACAGTCAGGCCCACCCTGCCACGCAGGCACAGGGCCTGGAACATTAAATTATACGCTATGCAAGAAACCTCGAAAGCACCCTCCTGTTGTTGACATCTTCGAAGGGGTTGTACTTACCCCGTTTGCCTTCCCTATGATCTGTTTTTTGTACTAATGCAATGTAGCTCCTCTTTCCCAGCACCCGCATGTGGAAGCAGCCTCTTGGAAAGGCAAAACTCCAGGAATCAAAGCGGAAGTCGGAGATTTTAGAAGGGTGAAATTTCAATGCGAGCAATGGCCCTACAGATGGTTGAGTTGAGGTCCTGCATCTTTCGCTTTCTTGTTGAGATTTCGGTCCCTTCTCACGAGGGTTCCTGCCTGGCTTGGTACGAACGAGGCATGCCGTCTCTCATTTCAGTTTCCGCCCTTCAATTCTTGAGCAATATTACTGTCGTTTCCACCGTAGAAAGGCTAAGCCATCGTGACGACTCCAAACCCTTCCCCTTCTCTCGGCCGAGGGTTTGTACCATGACTGTTCCCCAAGCTTGCGAAGCCACTCCGGTACGGCAGACATTGTGTAGGAACCAATCATGGCTGACTCCCCCTAATCAAGCTTACTCATCGGCCGCTTGTCCATACCTTCTTCTCCAGATCCCGGTGGTCGACTTCTCGGCGGAGGAAGCCTCGGTCGTTAAAACATGGCGCCGGGCCTGCATCGACCATGGTTTCCTGTATTGTGAGTGACGGTCGTGAAATCGAGAACAAACTGGAACCTTGGCCTTTAATTTCTGTCGAAGTTGGTGGGTGGGCAGTTGTCAAGCTTGCCCAAATCACAAATCCTACCCCGGCAGTGACAAACCACGGCATACCGGAGTCGCTGGTGTCGGAGTTTTTCGAGCAGCAGCATGCTTTCTTCCGCCTCCCCCTGGACCAGAAGATGACCATCATCCAGGATGAGAACAACAGGTGGGTCGCTTCCAGGGTGTTTGAAGGTTCATGCTGGCGCCATGACACTGAGGGTTAGGTTCAAGGGAGGATTTAAAACATTGACACCTTGACCGCCGCCCTTCCAAATCGTGCACCTTCCCTACAAGCTACAGGGGATACACGCCGTACAAGGAGTCTACCCTCGACCCCGAGAACTCCAAGCGCCCTGACACCCATGAGGGACTGTACTTTGGCCGCGAGGTGGCAGCCGACAGCGAAGAGGCCAAGCTCCCCCTGCATGGGCCAAACCAGTGGCCCTCTGAGGTGCGGGAGTATGTTGGTCAGCGGGGGTGACCTTACCACTTGCACGCTGGAAGCTTCCAGCGACATTGTTAAAGGTCCTGGCGGGGAAGTCGTGCGAGACTGTGCACATGACTCCCTGCCATCATCATCACCGATGCTCAGCATCCCCCCCATTCCTCTACCCCCAGGACCTGCTGCCCAACTACCGGAGGGTGACCCAGGCGTACTACGACGCTGTGACTGCGCTGATGCGCAGGTCGCTGCACATCCTGGCGCTGTCGCTGGACCTGCCCCGCGACCACTTTGACGCCATGTTTGCCAAGCCCATCGCCTCGCTCCGGCCACTGCACTACAGGCGCGCTGCTGTGATGGGGGGTCCGTGTGATGGTCTGAGCATCAAGGTGGATGTCTGAGGGGGACGGCGGCTTCCCTTGGCCCTGCTGCGCAGCTCCAACGCGACCTGAGCCTGTGGGGACGAGGGTGGAGGCATCACTCCAGGCCATGCCAGTCGCTCATGCTCCTGATGGTATGCGTCAGACCTTCACAACACGCTCATCCCCTCTGACTTACCGTTGCGCAGCGCCGAGGTGGCGTCGCCCGAGGACGGTGGCTTCAGCGCGGGGGCGCACACCGACTACGGCTGCCTCACTTTCCTCATGACGGACGGGACGCCGGGTCTCCAGATCTGCCCAGACGGCGAGTGGGTGGCGGTGCCCCACATCCGGGGTGCTTTCGTTATCAACCTGGGTGACATGCTGGAGCGCTGGACCGGCGGACTGTACCGCAGCACCCTGCACCGCGTCGTCTGCACGTGTGGAAAGGAGCGGTTCTCTGCCGCATTCTTCGTGGAGCCCAGCTTTGAGACGGTCGTGCAAGTGTTTCCCGAGGTGCGCGGATCATCGGGAGAGGGATTCCTGGGAGGGACCAGCGCGGTGCGCATCACGCTCACGGCGTCGGTGTGCGTCGGCGCTCGATATGGGCGTAGGATGAGAAGGAACAATGTGGCCTGGACACCTGATGCAAATCCCCCACCATTCACCTATGTGTGCAGTGCCTGGCAAAGGGCGGCAAGAGCTACCCCCCCATCCAGTCTGGGGAGTACCTGCTAGGCAAGTACAGGGCCACCCATTCGGGGTACAGCCTGGCAAAGGAGGGGCATGCTATCGCCGCCTGAGGCATGTTTACCTTGGCCGCTTGTGGATGGCCCTTCCCTTGCCCGACTCCAGCATTGTAGCCTCTTGGCAGGGAATAGTTTATTGCCGTCGGCAGGATCTGCTCAGGCTGCTCAATCCCCTGAATTAACAGCAACGAATTCCGGATCTCCATATGCACTGTAAACATGCGCATTGTGCTGGTTCTCTGGCAGTGTTGATGAGATTCGGGTCTCGAGATCCATACTTGTAAAACCCTACACACCGCACCGTTACCCACACGCGAGCCTTTCTGTGCCATTCGAGTGGTCGACATGGCAGGGAAGCAGCTCGACGTCACCACCCCAGCGCGCGATGGGGGTGATCGCGAAGAAAGGGAGTGTGTGGAGTCGGAGCCTCGAGGCCGGTGCCTCGTTCGAGGCAGTACGCACGGCCATGTCGTGGGCTGGGCACGGGCTCCCTGCCGCAACAGTGCACCCGCAAAACTCCAGTCACGATACCCACCATGTCTGCCTGGTGCATGCGAACGGCTGCGCCGGTGCAGTGAGGTGCGCCTGGCTGGGGTCCGGTGGGTACCCGCCATCATGGACTGTTCCGGGGTGTGCCCTGCAAGCCCTGCGACCCTGATTTCCGCCCCTTCCCGCACATTTCAGACAAAACACAGGGTACGACCGTTGTGGGCTCTGGGGACACCCAGGCTTCCCGGCGCATCTCGGAAGAGAACCGCCGGACGCGAGGGGAGGACTGCCGGGCGCCAAGTGATCCAGGAGACGCGCACAAGCCTGCCGTTGCGCTCCAGCTTGTCGAGCTAGAGAGTACAGGTGCAGGCGGGCCATCAGTGTCTGCTCCCGTCCGAGGTCCGAGCTAGTATATAGAGGGCGAGCTTCATGCAGCATGACAGCATGAACGGCACACCCGGTTCGGATCCGGGGGGGTTGGATTTCTTGGATTTCCCCTCCAGTCCGGGTTCTCAGCCCAGGTGTGTAGGTGGTTTTCCATTCCGGCGGAGAGGGAATGTGACTGGCTTTACTGACTTACTCTCTTGGTGACATCTTGTACCAGCCGGTCTGTTGGATTGGGATTGTGCTGGCAGCTGGAGCTGCTGCTCAGATTGTATCTCCTTGCCACAACCCCTCCATTGGCCACAGGAGCGCGCCCCATCATGGCCTGCCCGAGGGCGACACGCCGCCCAGCCACCCCAAAGCCACGCCAGGCGTGACCGCCAACTCCACCCTGGACCATGCCATCCACAAGCTGGCCAGCGACGACTTCACCCGCCTCCTGTGAGTTGTTTTGAAAGGGCAACACAGGTCGCTGCCTTCCTTCTGCCCCTGTGCAGCATCCCTTTGGACTACTGTAGAGCCCGCTGGTCGTCAGGCGCCTGGCAATCCCCCTTTCCCCACTTTCCGCGGCAGGCATTTCGAGGCGATGTGTGAGACTGACGGGGACCTGGACGACCTGTCCCGCGTGTTCCAGGGGAATGAGGGGGCCGAGCTCCTAGACCCAGGCTTCTTCAACGACCTGATGTCCCCCGAGGACCCGGCCCACGGCACGCCGGCGAGGAACGGCCACCCAGGCCATGCGCAGCCCCATCCCGTGCACCGTCGGCCGGCGGGCGCCGAGGCGGCGGCCGCGCGCTCGGTGCTGGCCTCCCTGGGGGAAGACGACTCCCCCGGCTCCATGAGGGGGGAGACCAGCCACCACCAGGTGGGTGCATGCAAAGGAGGGTGGGATGGAGTCTGCGTTCAGGTGGCTCGCTGGCGTGGAGCAAAGGCCTCAGCCTGGGTAAGTCTGTCCACGCCATGGTGTCTGACTGTGGACCGAGGCCGCTGCTCCCAAGGGCCAGGTCAAACGCTGCACCCCGACAGGGGGTTTCTCCAGATTTAACAAAAATAACAACAACACCCCCCTACAAGTTCCAAACCGCTCTCCCTCCCTCCCCCTTCCCCACATGGTATTTCCTCAGGCTGACTTCCGTGGGTCCATGGGCATGCACCACGCCCCCCAGCAGGCGGGCCCCGCCCCCGCTTCACACACCAGCGAGGCCTACCCGGCCTCCCCGCCGCCGTCCACGCCCCAGCGTGGCCCCCCCGCCCCGCAGGATCCCCCGCCCGCCGGCGGCGTGTGGCTGCTGGACGCCCAGGCCTCGCCCAGCCCCGGGTCGGTGCCCATGACGCCCATGCACCTCTACCCCTTCCAGCTGCAGCCGGGGGCCATGTTTGTGGACCCCGGCACCGGCCAGGCGCTGCCCATGCAGTGGGGGGTTCACGGGGCGGGGGCCGCGCCCGGCCCACAGCTGGTGGCCTTGCCAGGGGCGGGCGGCGTGCCCGGCTACTACCCCGGACACCCCCCCGCCGGCATGCAGCTGGCCTACATGCCCGGGCAGTACCCCTACACCCCCCCGCCCATGCACCACGTCGTGCACGGCATGCCCGGTTCCGGGGCGGGCACGCCCAGCCCCTCGCGCAAGGGGCCCAAGCGGCGGCGGCCCAGCCGCGTAATAA